TGCCCAAATTTGGGGATGGTTCTGCTGCACCATCATGTGAGGGGACCCTTGCCCAGGGGCTGCCCAAAATTTGGGGATGGTTCTGCTGCACCATCATGTGAGCAGCCCCCTGTCCAGGGACCCTTCAGGGGGCTGCCCAAAATTAGGGATGGTTGTACTGCACCATCACGTGAGCTCCCCCTGCCCAGGGACCCCCCAAACCTGGGGATGGTTCTGCTGCACCATCCTGTGAGCCCCCTGCCCAGGGACCCCCAAACCCGGGGATGGTTCTGCTCCCCGGGCAGTGGGAGCTGTGCTGGAGGCACCTCTGGGCTTGCTGAGGTGACATTTGGGGACAGGGGGTGCAGGGGGACAGCGAGGAGTGAGGGATGGCCCTGAGCTCTCTGCAAGCCTGCAGAGCTTGAGGCCAAAGCCATCCCAGGGGGCTGTACATGCCACTGAAGGGTGGAGGAGGTGCCCAAATTTTTGGCTGTCCCTTCATCCTTGCCAGTTCCTGCCCTGGCAGCACAGGGGCAGCTCCTGGTGCTGCCTCATCACCTGCTCCTGGAAGGGAATTATCCAGCACCTTTATCCCGGTGCTCTGGGCATGGCTCTGTCTCTGGGGCACAGGGAAACAGGAGCTCTGCTTTTCCCCTTGTGGGATTTCTCCCTGTGGAGGGCAGAGCAGCCAGATTACATGCGCTGTCTTTAGGTTTGGTCAGGTCAGACCTCCAGGTGGATATTCTGGATGAAAGCAAGAAAAGGGGGGAAAAGTAAATCCCAGTCCTGCTCCTGACACCCCCAGGAGCTGAGTTCTGCCTTCCCAGGGCTCTGAGCCCCCCTGTGCCCCAGCACAGCCCCAGCACAGGAAGGCTGTGAGCACCAAACAACCTGGGAATGCTCCTTGCTGGGCAGGTCACCCCTCTGCTACCTCTGCTCCTGGGCTCAGCAGGTGACCAGCTTTGCACCCCAGCCCCTGGGGTGTCCTGGGCAGGTGGGCACCCCCCTGTGCCCCCGGCAGTGCCACCAGGCTGGATTTTCCCACAAGGATGTTGCCTCGGCAGCAACAGGGAGCTGGAGCAGCACTTCCAGCTGAATTCCTGCTTTGTTTTTTTTTTTTTTCTCTCTGCATATCCCTAATAGCAAAGTGAGTCCCCCATGTTTTGTTTTGTTTTGTTTTTTAATTATCTTTTTTAATTGTTTAATTATTATTTTTTAATCTTGTGGTTTGTGTTTGCACCAGAGCCGCAGCTCGCCTGCATGCTGCCCTGCAGGGTGGGCTGGCAAAGGGCAGCCCCTGCTAGGAAATGGTGATGGGGTGGTGGAGGCAGAGCAAGAGGCCGAGAGGGTCGTGGTTTCTCCATGGCTGGTCCCTGTGACACACAGGGAAACACCATCCTCACCTGCTGAGGCAGGATCTGAGTCTGATCCATGCTCCAGCAAATCCATCCCCGTGATTCCTGCTGCCACAAGGAGCTGGAAGGGTTCATCAGAACAGGACACCCAAGCCCTCTCTGCCACCACAGCCTGGTGTCCAGCACAGCTCCACTGTGCTCTTGGAATTGCTTCCCATCCAAGGCAGCTCCAGCTGAGCTCCAGTGCCTCTGACCACCCCATCCCTGTGCCAGGGCTGGGCGTGCATCCTGCTCCTCCCTCCCTGCTTGGGGAATCAAACCCCTCGCTCCAAAATTTAAAACAAGAAAGGGAAAAAATTAGGAAAAGCAATGGGGGGACACGAGTCCATCTCAGCCAGGAAGGGCAGTGGCACTTGTCACCATCCCTTGCCTTCGTGGCAAACCTGGCTCCCTGTCCAAGCTCATCCTGACAGGATTTATTAACACATCTGAGTCCACTTATCGATCTCTGGCTAGAGCTTTACCCCTCCAAATTGTCTGAGAAGGAAATTCCTTGGTAAATGCTAATAATAAAGCATTTCTAAAGTGCTCACACTACACATATCAACGACTAAGCCAATACATTGTTTGTTATAACCCTGTAGCCTGCAGTTTATAGCACAATTAGTTACAGGTTTTTATAGCATCTATTTAGTATTTTGAAGAAAAAAAAAGAAGAAAAAAAAAGGTTATAAATATAATTGTTATATTCTATTGTACTTTATAGACAGAGGAAGTTATATTAGTAATAACAACAACTCTCACTGCTTCCACAGCACTTCCCAGCTCCTGGAAGAACGAGGGCTACACAGAGCTCCTCTCCCCAGAGCCCAGGAAGGGGTGGGTGGTGCAGGCAGGGAGATCCCAGCTGTCCAGGCGCAGGGATTGGAGCACGAGCACCCTGCGGCCCTACTCACACCTTACTACAGATTTACCACTCACCCAACGCCTCCCTGGTCCTGCTGAGAGCAGCCTGGGCCTGTCCCAAGCTGGGATGTCCCCGTTGCTGTGCCCAGGGCAGTGCCAGGTCCCTGCCCTGTGCTCCTGGGGGTGATGCTGGGTTCACCAAGGATGCTCCCCTCTCCTCCTCCTCCTCCTCCTCCTGCCCCACTGAGCATCCCAAGCCTGGACTTGGCTTCCCTTTCCCCCCTGGACTCCTTGTTGGAGATTCCTGAGGTGTCTGCACCGCCTGTGACGCCCTGCACCTCCTTCTTTGAAATTGAATTAAAAATCAGGTCTGTCCCCTTGTTCTGTACCGGCCTCAGGAGTGTTTTTGCCAGCAGGTTTTTGCATTCCCTGAGTCCCAGCGCTCACATTTGCAGCTCCTCTGCAGGGAAGCGGGGCTGGCTCCATCCTCTTGTGGAAAATGAGACTCTCCTGGGCATTGAGGGGCTCTCAGGGGGACGATTGCTGTGCCCACATCAGGATTATCCTTCCTCCCTCCACACCCACACAGAAAAGAAGTGGAAATGGAGTTTTGGCACATTTCTATTGCACAAACAGCATTGCTGGGGGCTCGGGGGCAGCAGTGCCTGTGCTGTGACCCTAATTCGGAGAATTATGGTGACATCCAGCACCCCTGAGGGGACCACAGCCATCACAGGGTCCCTCCTGTGACCCCCCAGCACTCATGGAGGCTTTTGGAGCTGTCAGACACGGGGCTCACTGGTGCCGATGGGGAGCACTGAGGTGTGAGATGCTTTTTATGGGTGTCAAGGATGGGGTGTCCCCTCTCCAGGTGTGGCTAAACCCTTCCTCCTGCAGAAAGCATCGATTTGGGCCTGGATTTTTCCAGTACAAAAGTGCCTGTTTAGCAGGATTACCAGAAAAATAAATCCATTGGGAAGGACGGGGTGCAGCGGTGAAAATGAGGTGGAACCCCCCGGGTTGTGTGGGAGCAATACCACCAGGGATGGTTCTGCTCCATCTTCACCTTCAGCATGGCTCCCACCCTCGGAGGGAGGGCTCCGTCGGTCTGTCCGTCCGTCCGTCTGTCCGTCCATCCATCCGTCCCTCCGTCCGTCTATCCATCCTTCCTTCCGTCT